CAGTGGCAGAGAAACTCCGAAGTTGTTTTACTACATGTCGCTGATCCTGGAATTACACGTTACTCGCTTGATGTGGCCTGAACTTCATAAAAGGGCGCAGCGATGCAGTGATTCAGTCCCTGTTTTCATGAGCCGTCTGTAATTTTCAATCTGAGTACGTCCGCCCAAAAGGGCAGCGACGCAGCTCTTCCTGGAGCGTAAGATGTTCATGGGACATAGTAAATGCGTAATCTGCCCCATGTCTTGCACATGGCTTGCTCCGGGATGAGTGAACTTGGACTTTAAAGTTGTAGAGACTGGAACTTACTGTAGCTCGAACGGCTCCGTAGGCCAGCCAGCAGACTGCACATGCCAGCTGAAGGCGTGTATGCCTGTGGAGCCAGGGTAATTCGAAGTTGAGAGGACACATTGCCGAATGTGCTACTCAGACCTGTGCACAAACTGCAGGGTCTTGACAACCACAGTTTTGCTGGCGTCGCAGTGTTGGCCGCGTCAGGTAACAAGAGGGGGCTGCCGGGGACCAAAGCCAAGCTCAGACGCGTTTGCGCGCGGCGAAGCCTTCCGGACATGACTTCTCAGACACCTCCAGGGAGCGCGCGCTCTGCTGAAAAAGGTTCCCGACGAGGATTGCAGCAATGGCCACTGGAATGCCAGCATTTTGGAAGCAAGCTCTGACAGGAAGAGTTTGACGAGGTGCTTGGGCTGCCGGTCGTGGTCAACAAGCGCTTCGCACTTGTAACAATTTGTGCAGAGTGGACAGTCGTGCTCGGATTCTCGTGTTTTCTGTCACTTCCACTTGGTTCAGGCTTCTTCCTGGCTGCCAGGGCCTAAGTTGGGCCTAAGGGCCTTAGCAGACGCACGGTGGGGCAGACTAGTGTCTGGCGGCCTGGCAACAAGGTTGAACATCCCATGGGAGTCGTGAGCACGCAAGAGAGCAACAATCTGCCACTAGGCTGTCACTTGAGATGTTCACTTTGACGTGTTCCAGAGTGGCGGCAAGAGAGCACAATGGAATAGAGCTCAAGGCCGTACCATGCGGGACAAGTACAGCACCTGAAAAGCTTGGCCAAGCCCACAAATGAGGCGCGTCAGATGCACGCGCTCTGGTTCAGTCAGTCAAGCCTTGTTCGGCTTCCTCTCACAAATTTGGCTAGAAGGTTTGCATGGGAAAGCAGACGTGTGCAGAAAGCGGGCCTGTTAGCTATTGAGGGCGAATCCGGTGTGGTTGAAGCTGTTGCCGACCTGTAGACATGTTGGTGCCTACATTTCTTTGACCGTTCCATCACTTACCTGTTCGTCGGACTCTCCGGATGAATGCCGAAGATTTACGAGGGAATACTCCACGAAGCACACAAACACTGACGGATTGACGAACGGCAAGTGGCGTCATGCGGTGTTTGACATCGAACACATATTATGAGGTTGTGGGTCGTACCAAGCTGAATCTGCATGATTCTACCTGGCCAGCACAGCAATTGTTCTATGATTATTCCTTCTCTTTGCTTGCCCCGTGAACCCAACCTGAGCTTTCCCGATGCAGGCCCCACCACCTCATAACCCAGTCGTTAGGATTCTTTACAGGATTCGTTTGTGGATGGGTGGGAAGTTGCCGTTGAGAGCACGAGTGATGGCGTGTAGCCAGCGCTACAAAGTTTACACTCTTCCCTTCAGTCAGGTTCCCTGGGACTACGGATTTGTGATCGGCAGTTTCAGCGAAATGTCTCAGGCAGAGACTCCAAGTGCAGGACTTTAGGGATTGTGGGATAACTTGAAGCAGCTGGCACTTGACGAGGCGAGGAGATCCTTTCTGGCTTATTTGCACTCAGAGCGGCCTGGCCGCCGCAGCCCAATGGCGCGATGCTCACAGCGAAAGTGGAACATTTTTTGGGACATCCGCCACTTATTCAGGAGACTGCTCCAACTCTACGTTTGTAGGGAGTGGTGTGTCGCAGCGTTGCCTCAGTTCTGAAAGTCATCATTGCTGAACTGGAGGTCCACTACAACAGTTGGTACGACTTCTACAGCTACCAGGAGCTTTGCCCAATGCAGCGGCTGCCATGCACACGTAAAACCTGTCCAGGACGAGGGCTTCAATGGTGGTTTCAAGGACTCTGCCTTCCATTGACTCATTGACTGCCGATGCGCACAAACAGAGTAAAACAGAGTGGGACCCCCAGGATCCTTGGCCCAACGAGACACTGATAGCTTCACTTCGACCGGACAAGATGAGCGAAGGCACCTGTCGAAGACTGCTTGCATATTAGCTTTGTATTCAATTTCTTTGGTTCGGTCTTGAAGTCCGGTTTTTGTTCAGGTAGAGGCTAGATTCGGCTAGATGTCGGGATCTCGGGACCCTGGGTCGGCGTCATTGAGGCATATGAAGGCTATAGAGTCATCTGAAGCTGAGCAGCGGAAGTGCGCTGGAACCAGATGTTCACAGTACATGACGTACAACTTGCCATTGTTATCATGGGTTCTCGAATCTTAGGCAAAGCTGGCACACGGTCCAACTCGTCCGGATAAGCACGCTGAAATCGTTGAAGATTCACACATGTTTTGGTCGATGTGGACCAGGTAGTTTCTCGGTCGGCCTTGTCCGACTTTGTTGTTTCGTAGTTCGAAGGTGTCCGCGCTATATCTTCACAGGAGGGACAACGTTCAACGTTTCAGGGGTTGCTTCTGGTCCCGGGCCATGTTGTTGTTCTGAGAATCTTAGCCGGGAGTCGTCTAGCTACTCTAGTGACTCTGGTTGTCATGTGCGTCGTTTGTGCATGTGTCGAGAGGCAGCTGCTTGCAAAGGGTCGAGGCATTCGGTGAGGAGATGGTCAAGAAGCGTGGCGCGAAGCTGGACTGTCGAGTGATTACGAGCGATAGAGGCTGTGAGAACTATCGTGCTTCTCAGTGTGCAAAATGCATTGCTGCGTTCAGGGTTTAAGGTGTTTCCAAGAGCCTTGCAGGACTCCTTTTTATGGGACGATGGCTGGGACGATCCCCAGACGCTGTGGGAATTTGATAAGCTTCGTTTCCCTCGGCGGTTTGAGAAGGTTGCCAGCAAGGCCAGAGAATACGGCGCTGGCACGGGTGTGTGGCTCTCGCCTTGGGGCGGCTACGGCTTCACACAAGAGGCCCGAGTAAAGAATGGCAAACGCCAAGGCTTTGAAACGAACTACAATCGCAACATCCAGTCAGAGGCCTTCAGCCTCGCAGGGAAGAAGTATCGACATGCCTTTCATGAAACAGCGATGAGCTTCCGGCGTGAGCAGGCAGTCAACATGTTTAAGTTCGATGGCGTTGCCGGTAATCCTACAGAACTGGGCATGGAGATGGAGGCAATGTTGCAGACCATAGCAGCTTTGCGGAGTGAGAAGGTTCAGAAGTCTGATGGAAAAGATGAAGATGATGTTTGGATCAACCTGACCACGGGCACGTGGCCCTCTCCTTTCTTCATGTTTTGGGCGGACTCAATTTGGCGAGGTGGTCCAGACATTGCGACGAGGCCACGGGACTGGTACGGCCCGGTTAAGGCCCCGGAGCATCCTCAAAAAGGCCACTTCACCTTACCTCCACTCAGCGAGATAGGGCTCGACGGCCTGACTGGCCGGCAGCGCTGGATTCGGTGGCGCAGCATGGTCGTTTATATCCTGGTTGTGCGCAGGTCGACCTTCTTCCCGCTGTCACAACTTATGATTCATGGGGTCATAGTGGCCTCTCACGGCGACGCCTTGCATTGGGGATTGGACAAGTTCGATAGTATTGACTTTACTCAAGAAGTGTGGTCCTTCGTAGCACTGGGACTGCAGCTGCAAGAGCTATACGTGGCCCCACGCCACATGACCCCTGAGGCATGGGACATCTTGGCAGAAGGCTTGAAGTGGTCTCGTCAGCACTCAGCAATCCTGCGTGACAGTCATTGGGCATTTGGCGATGTCACCCAGTACAAGATCTACTGTGTGGCCTCATGGGACGTTGCCAGCATGCGCGGATTCATGCTTCTCCACAACCCATCAGGCAAGCGAGAAGATGTTAGAAGATGTTAGAAGCATGAGTGAAGCACTGAGTGAAGCTGCCGAATTACCGACTCAGTATAACAAGCTCATCCTTTCAATACCAGGAGCGCCTCAAGTGAGTGCGAAGCTCAGTGCCCTTCACTGACTGTTGTGATCGGCTTGCTGGAGTGGCATCCTTAAGGCACTCGCTTTTCTTTGCAGGAGGCCTGGCCTGAGGCTTCTGAGGTGTCGGAGTCTGCGAAGAGCCTGCGGAGAACTGCCAGGTCTTGGAGCTTCCGTCAGCTGAGAGTGGCGAGACCTTCACCATTGCTTTGGTCAAGAGCGCCTTTCGACCTAGCACGGGAGCGCCGAGATCCCAGATGAGATCAGATGATCCCAACATTCAAGATCTTCAAGTCTTGTCTCTGGCAAAGTCATGCAGCTTGCTTTCTCTTCAAATCCTAATCAGGAAAAGACTCGAACGCCTTCCCGGATGGAACTGCACGGCGCCGTGACCTTATCGTGTGCAGGGACAGGCAGAATAGTGGAATGCTCGGCGATCTTTTCAGGACTTTTCGTCCCGGAAGTTTGTCCTCATGCAGGCTTCGAGTTCAGAGCAACCTGTGGACCGATGACACTGCAGATCAGCTCGAACTGGAGGCTTCCGACGGCTGCACAAGTTCAAGTACTGCTTGAAGCAACGGAGGCTGGCCACTGTCGGACACGTCTTTCGACTAATGTATCGGCCTGTTGCCAGGTGCTGGTCCTCTCGGTGACGAAAGACATGTGAGTCTTGTGAGTCTGGTGAGTCAATCGTCTTCACGACACGCCCTCGCTTACAATCTGGCTCCTTTGCTTGTCATGGCTACCGAGCCATGTGCGACACGCCGACCTGTGTACAGCGGCACGACAAATCAATCTGCCCAGAAGCTGTTCATTTCTTGGCATGTGTGATGTGCGCTCAACACTGAGTGACTTCGAGTGACCTCAGTGGTTTTCGTCTGCGCCAGCCAGGTAAGGGCTTCAATCGCAAGCGGCCACCCAAACCCTGGAGCTGAGAACCCAGACAAAAATGCCAACAGTTCCCTGCTGGCAGCCACAAGCCCAACCAGGTCGTCCTCCAGACGACCAGAAGTCAGAGCAGCCGGGCCGACAGTCGATCTCAGAAGACCTGGGTTTGGACGGCCTCGCAGGCCATGGTAAGCATGCGGTCTCAAGCATGTGTGGAAATGAGTGTAGTGCAGTCGCAAGGTTAGGTTGGGGGGGGGGGGGGGGGGCAATATGGGAAGCTTTGGGCAAGTAACTTGGATGCAGCTGTGTGGTTTTGACGTGTCGATGCCATGGGTTTCACAGACTTGATGGCACGGCTCTCAGCAACGAACGAAAGAGCGAACTGCACCGAACTTGACCTAGGGGGGGCCGGTGCGCGGGGGGGGGGGGGGGAGGGGCTGTGGCAGAGAAGAAACACCCCCCAGCCCTTCAGAGAAGAAAATCACTACGCTGTGCTCCCAGCCCACTCATGGGCTCGTATTCTGTATGTGAACATAATGTATAGCAACATAGATACATATGTATATATATATATATATGTGGGTGTGTTATGATTATCGTGATAGTACCACATATTTCAGTATCGGACACAGTGTATACATACACATATGCAGACATACATTCATACATATATATATATATGCATATACACATCCATACACATATGTGGATATACATATATATATATATAGGTCATAGGTTGTAATGCACTCGCGTGAGAATTGTATACATATATTGAAGTTGGAATGGTACGTAGATACAAGCATATATAGATATACACACCAATACACATATATAGATATACATATGTACAAATAGATATATATATATATATAACCGCATCTTTTTGCAAATGCAACAGAGTGACACTTAGGAGTGAAGTAGGCAGGGAACCTCCACCGGGGGCGTTACTATTGGAACACGTTTCTGTGGCTTAAAGTCGTAACACCTCCACAACCCTGTGAACACCATAAAGACCGTGTGTGAAGGGTGAAGAAGCCCGCATGAAAAGACCTTTTTTGATGGTTTTTTTTTCACACCCTTCATTCACACATCCTTTGTTCGCTCCTTATAAAAGTCTTATGTGTGAAGAGAACACTGTTGATAATATGGCAAGGGCATTCCAAGTAGCATTGATCAAGCTGGAGAACTGCCAACAGGCCTTGAGGATGGGGGCTCGGCTCAAGCCCAAGAAGCCTCAGAAGGCGGTTGAGAAGGTGGTGCAAATTGTGACAGTTGTGCCACACTAGGCCGTGGACTTGGTGCGGCTGGAGATCCGCATGGAAGGCCTGAGCTGATGACGCTCCGAAAGCCCGTTGGACTTCACATGGCCTCTCGCAAAGGCCTAGAGCAGCTCCCCGCGCTGTCAAGAGTGCCTCACCTGCGTGCTCGAAGCCCAGTGTGCAACGCAGCATGACGTTTCAGTGGCAAAGTGATGCGACAGGCAGAATGGGGCAAAATGTGATAGTTGTCATGACTTTTTGTCCTGATGAGATTCTGGTGCTCAGCGGCAACAAGATTTCAAACCTGGTCCGAGCCCGAACTTCGACTCCAGTGACTAGTAAACATTAGCACGCAGAATTAAGAAGATTCAAGCATAATTTCAAGCATGATGAAGCCTGTTTGGCAGATCCAAGGAAGACTTGCGTGGCTGTCCCAAGCTTGAGGACAGCTTGCTTCTTTGGCCCAGTTGAAATTGACGTTTTGACGTGCGCGGTGGTGCAGGAGTTAGTCCTTTGCCAAAATGCCCTGACATCATTGGATGGGTCACGGGCCGAGCCCACGAGAGCCCATAAGACTGCAGCTGTGCAGCATACTCGGAGTCAAAAGTGGACCAAGGCTGCGGCACCTAAGGCACCTCTCAGTGCTGGCCTCAGAGGGCTTCTGACCCTCAGAGGACGAATCCTGTGTGGAGCATGCTTCTCTATGCAAAGTAGTTTAGATCACCCTGTGCAATCGCCCTGTGCAATCGCCAAGTGACTTGAAGTGCTTCAAATATCAAAAGCGGTGCAACACCGTGACCGTGAGGTCCTCAAAGCCACCATGAATGCAATCACGGATGCAGAGGCATGGGGGGCAAACATGGGCATTGAAGTGGTCCAATCTGATCCTGCGTCGATGAGAAGATAGAACTAGGATCTGGCGCAACTTCCACAGCTTCGCGCCAGGGCCATTGCTGAACTTCGCCATGCTTGCCAGTAGATAGCACACACTGTCGTAGTCAAGCATTCACACGTGATCCCAGTTGCAGCGTGACACTCCAACCTTTGCACGAATGCACTCAGGTTGTGGACCTCAGCAAGAACCGTTTGACCTCAGCAGGAGTCTCAGGCTCAGGTGAGCTCCATTGCTATCTGCAGACAATCCTGCTGCAAAGGTGCAACTTTGCGCCAAAGGCTTGGGCAAGCTCGACCCAAAGCCATTACAAGTTGTTCTGGACAGCGATATCCACATCACATCCTCCGATTTGCATCTGTTTGACCTGGGGCTGACTTTGCCAAGGCTGGTTCTGTACAGAAACTCCTTGCATTCGGCAACTTTTTTGCGCGAGCTGCCACAGACTCAAGCTACTGTGGCATGAGCTCAGTGCCATGCAGCAAATGCCAAGGCCATCTTTGACGCAGCTGGATCTTGGGCGTAACAAGCTCACTGAGCTGGATTCCGCAATCTCCGAGTGTCCTCGGCTGCAAACACCTGTGCCCAGAATGTGCTCGATCCGCTCGATGCATTGCGTTTGCATGTGACAGTGTGACAAAGGTGGAACCCAGTGCTTACAAAAGCCTTCCTCTACGAGAACTGCTTGGATTGGCTCTCGATGGGGGGAATTTGTAGAGTTGTAGAGAAGACAAAGAAAGAAGGCTCTTGTGCTCTTATGCAACAGCTCTTTTCGATGCAAAATGAATCAAGAACACGAATCGCATCTCTCGCGGTGATTGGGCTGAGGCTTCGCTTCCAGAGCTTCATCTGCCGTTGTTAACGGATCTCTGGGTGCCCCCCATTTTTGCACTCTCGTATCTGCCAGTGTTTGCACAGTGTTTGCACTGCATGGGTCACACGATGTCACACGTTTGCTTGGCGACGCCGCATCTGCCATTTTCCGCTTCTTGTATCAGTTAAGACAAATAAGAGACCATGGCAAGACACAACACGGCCCCGCATAATGCAATAGCTCCAGGTTCTCAGAGGCTTTCGAAGAACACACAAGCGAAAGTTGCAAGCGCACATAGTCTCTACATCCGTGAATCTGCCTCCAAGCATGCGCAAGCCTCAAAAGCACAACACGTAGCCGACAGCAACTCAGCCTGACAATGAAGTGGCCGGGTGCTCACTTATGCCACGGCCAGAGCCTTAGGCACTGTCGGCTGGATCAGCAGCAACAGCATGGCGAGTTGTTGCACTGCTTGCACTCTCTGCACTCAGGCAATCCATAGACCGTGCCATGCAACTTGTTTTGTGCCCTTGGCCAAGTCGTTTGTCATGCCGTCTGCGGAATGCCAGATTTGCAGCCGCTTGAGGTCGGATCTGCGAGCGTGCGCTGGCAGGCTTGCGTCGGGAATGGCTGCAAGGACCTCAGAACATTCCAAACCGGTGGCGGAGCGAACTTGTAGCTGCCAAAGGCCGAGGATTTCCACGGGGAAGAGGATGCTACTCTGACACTGGAAGTAGCGAAGGCAAGGCTTCGCAAGGCAAGCCGACACAGTTCACTTGACCGCTTGACCACATTGAAAGGAGTTCAAGAATCCCAAGTTTCAAAAGTTGGTGGAGGCCTGATTAGAGCAATGCTTGCAGCCCCTGCAGCGTGAATTCGACAATTGATTTATGTGCAAGAGCTGGAAGCACCGCTACGTTGACTAGATACAGGTTTACAGCCAGGACTTGAAGCAGCTTGCCGGGTTGCCCAGTGGCCGAAGATGACCCGAACTGAAATCGTCAACGGTCCAAGAGTGCGTTTCGAGCGAGATGCCAAAGATGCCAAAGATGCCAAGGTCCAAGAGAATATCCGGCTTAGAGAAGAGCTTGGCCTGGAATTGGTCAGGGACTTAGAGGCTGATTTGGACGAGCTCACGGAGGCATGCAGAGAGACTGACTTGCCAGTAATAAAAATTGAGTATCTGCTGCGTGAGAAGAGTCCAGCCTGAAGTGAAGACAGTGCAGAGAGAGAGAGAGAGAGAATCATCAAGAACCCCGGGGCTAAGTATTGGGGGGCTTGTTTGCTTGTTCCGGTTCAGGTTCGGGTTGGGGGCTGTGGTACGATACAAGGGGGTCATTGATCACCAGTTTCACGTCAAACCGGGCACCGGGGTACCAGCAGCCAACACTGCCTCACCGGATAAGGGGGGCTATGGGACTACATGGGGGCTACGGGTCTACATTGGGGGGGGTTGAACAGTTGGCAGAGTACACCCGGGCACCGGACACCGACCACTCCACCCCGAAACAGGGGCGGGCAAAGATGCCCGGGGCGCAGACCCCAAGCCCCTAGAAAGAAAGAAAGAAAGAGAGAATCATCCATTTCATCACGGACGATGCGACTGCTGTCAGGACGCGCCTTTAGATTGGGATTCTGACGAAGATTCTGACCCCTGGGAAGATCATCCTCTTCACCATCACCAGCAGGCCTCGGTGCAACCAAAGTGTGAAATATAGCTAGATCATGTAAGTCGCTACCAGATGTCCAACATGCCACATGCCCGCCACTATTTCCTGGTGGCAGGTCCACTCACCAGCGGCCGGGAGCTCAAAGCTCAACACTGCTCCTCCCTGACTGCAATTGCATAAAGGCCTGCTTGAGGTCGACTGTCGGATTGGCAACATTACTATTGCGGCTGCGACTACTTCTACTGCTCCTACTGTCCTGTCGTCGGCGTCAGAGCATCATATTCAGGACTATCTGTCAGAGGGTTTTAAGGGCCGTCCTAGTCTTGTCTCCCAAAACCCTGCCACCTGCACAAAGCATAAGACCTTGCAGGGGGTTTAGGGCTGTGGTCTAGACCTGCTAAGTCGTCGTCCCAGTACTGGTACTAGTACTGCTAATACCTAGTCCTACCAGTACTACACTACTAGTAGTAGCAGTAGCAGTAGCAGTAGCAGTACCAGTAGGAGTAGGAGTAGTAGTAGGAGTCGTGGTAGTAGTAGTAGTAGTAGTAGTAGTAGTAGTAGTAGTAGTAGTAGTAGTAGTAGTAGTAGTAGTAGTAGTATTGCCAACGTTTTTTCCGTTCTCGCCTCTAGTCTCAGGAGAGTCCCAGGTGGCAACACCTCCCAGACGTGACTAACGGGTCACTAACCTAAGCCGTCCTGATGCCGGGGCAGGTACAAGTTCCGAAATTCATACTGTAGCCTGACTCTTGCCAGTTAAGGGCATTCCCCCCCCCCCTCCTCGTCTTTTGGCCTGATCCCGAGGCGGTGGGACGTAGCCAGTCGGAGCCTGTACGATCTCATTCGCAGGTGGGACCATAAGTGGCCCATGTACCGCGTTTTTTTCCCATTTCAGCCGTGAACGTGATTGCCCTAAGCATCCTTTATCAGGTGGAGATCGAAAGCAAAAAGTCGTGCGAAGCTCGGTGTATCGGCTCCATGCCTGGAGTGCCTGGAGTGCCTGAAGCGGGGCTCAGAGGATTCAGAAGCTCAGCGCAGCTCAGCGCAGCTCAGCGCAGCTCAGCGCAGCTCAGGTCGTCTTTTAATACAGACCGGTACCAGGTCCTGCCCCAGCCTCCGACTCGACCTTCTGAGATTCTCTGCGAGTCTGCGGGCTGGGGAAGGAAACACATACGGCGTATACGCATCATCGCATCCTAAACTCAGGTTCTTGAGTACGCCCCTGGACAAAGCAACCGAGAGACAGTTCAAGGCAAGTTAGACCGACTGATGTCGACTGCTTCAGTTTAATGCTACTGTCGAGCTTGGAGGCCACGCTGGTGCAAGACCTTCGGCGATTCTCAGAATCTGTGGAGATGCACGGCGCGAAGGACGACGATCGAAGGATGTCATGCTATGACATCTTTGTCAACTTGCTTATCCAGTTCAGGTTGCGCACTTGGTTGCAGCAAAGTTCGGAAGTCATGAACTGACTAGACAAGACGAGACTGCAACCGGCGTCCTACTGTCTTTCTTTGAGGCTTCCAATGAGTGCCTAACTCAGCTCTTTCCCATACGCTTTGAACAAACTTGAATGTGCAAAGATTCTCAGCCATCTCAGCCTTGCCCGAGGCCCGAACTCCGAAGTTGCGCTAGCCTGGGACATACTTGGTAGGAGCCTCGGGTCGGTTCGGAAGAGCAAGTCCTGACACGCTTCGGCATTTTGTCAGGTCTGTTGCTCATTGCCTACGACGTCTTTGCCATTCCCTTGCAGGCTTTCCCACTCGACGAGGAACTTCGCAGAGATGCATAGATGGCATAGATGGCATAGATGACGAGGATACCGGCCCCAAAGCCTGCTCTCTCTCAGGATGTCTTCACCATCAGTATGGGTTGGATCACACTCTGCTTCTGGACCATGGACATGGTATCTCGGAGTCGAGAAATCACGGAGAAGCCTGAAAAAGCATTAGAACGTCGGTAAGAGCACTGGAGAGCACAAGGAAGAGCCTGTCAGAAGGCAATGTTTAGGATGTTTTTTTGTTTTTTGTTTAGCTGAATGCTGCTATAAATGGAAAGAGTGAAGAGTTCTTCCTCGCAGTCCCTCTGACTCTGCTGAAAGTGGGCAAGTTCGCAGATGAGGAGACGTTTCGCATGAGAGGCGATGACGTGAGAGCTGAGGTCATGAGTAATGTTGTCGGCTTCTTTGATGGGCCTCAATTAGTTATGCAGCAGTATCGCATCACACTGCGCAGCTCATCAGCATCCAGTGGAGGGAGCTAGACACGCACGCTGAGCTTCTGTTGAATGAGATGTGACGGATGGTCTGATGCCGCATTGCTTAGGATACTTGCGCACTTGGTTTATGCTGGATGCCGTGGTGGTTATACCTGATTGGTTCACTCGGGTGGCAGAGGAGCGCATGCTTTCAAGCTACAGCATGCAAAGATCCAGACATGGACTGAGGCCATAAGACCCGCTTTGCTGCATGAAGTGAAGTAGCTCTCACTCCTCGAGGCGATATGTTGTTGAAAGCAGCCACATGAATACTGTCCCATGCCAGCCGTTGAAGGCCATGCAGGTCCAACGGCTGATCTTCCATACATGAGGTCCTAAGGTCCTAAGAGGCAAGCATTTCGAGCATCTGACCAAAGGAGTCTGTGTGTGTGTGTGCCCTAACCTGGGACGAATGTCTGGCTACCTTGCACTGATCCGGTCCGTTTCTCATCTCCTCTAAGATTGTTCGGGAGTAATTTTTTCAAATTTCCTCATAGTGTGGAAGCTTCCCTCAAGGACATCAGCTCAGCCACTTGGCCAGCATTGCTGTTGCTTCGTGTGTTAACACATCTCATCTCACGACAGTTTGCGATTCACTTTCCATCCCCGCATTTGCTGGAGGGTGTTTTGGCCAACCTTGGGCGAATCCTTCGATCCGCACGGGCTATTCGGGTCATTCGACTGCTTCTTGATCTGCATCTGAAGTTGTGGGTGACGCATCCATCGGAAGCACGAAGAAGCACACCTTGGTTGATCATCTGTAGCTGCGTGTGCTCCAACATGTTTGCCAGCGTCGTGGTTTCATGTTCTGGCCTCGAGCCAACAGATGCCAACGGTCTTCATATCATATACATAATTTTCGCCGTGCTAGGCCGTACGAAGGCTTTCATGTACATGACATGCTTCACATCGAACCGAAGCAGCGCTCAAGTAGATAGAATGGTGTTCTGCTTGCATGACCAACTGCAAGCGAGGCTTCGCTTGCTGAAGCTGCAAAAGATGATGAACAAGCTGTATGCGCCTCGTTTGCACTTCTTGAGCCTGAGAGTTCCAGCAGCCCTTTTGGACAGCTGTGTCGAGGACTTCATTGACTCCGAATATCTGTTCATTGTTATGGATATATTGCGCCTGTTGCT